ATAATCGGTGGAGTGGTCCAGAAGATTGGTCACATTGGAGATGGACTCGTGTTTGTGTTTGGAAGCGGTGCCGATGACTGTCACGTTGCCAACAGTTTTGGCCAATTGTGCCAATGCTTGACCCTAAACAAGGGGTCACCACTCAAATCAGATACTCATTCATAAGGCATTTGCTGAGACTTACAACTCCGCCGCCGACAGAGTGAATGAAAACTGTTTGATCGCTCTTAAGATTGCCGACATTGAAGAGCAGGGCATAGGCGACGGCATAGTTCAGAGTGAGGGCTACCGCGTCTTCGAAACTCATCTTCGCGGGTATTTTGTAGACATATTTCGCGTTTACGGTCACGAGTTCGGCCCAGGCTTTCGACTCGCACAGCGCCGACACCCGGTCGCCCACTCGGAGTCCGGTGACCCCTTCGCCCACGGCCTCTATCTCTCCCGCGCATTCAAAGCCCATAATGAACGGTACTTTGGCTTTGGGCGGGTTGTCGATCACACCCTGTCTTAGCATCAAATCCGGGAAATTGAGTCCACTTTTGGGACGCGAATAGAAAATTAAAATCAATACATTGATAGCCAATAATATTAGTATATAAGCAGCTCATTGTGATACTCTATGTTTAGACGTGTTTTGACGGTATAATAATATATGGTTTCATGTAATAAAGGTATCAAATGACTCAATAATTCACTTGTTTTAAACCTAACACTCTCTGCATTCATTTAATGGACTAACTGTTGAATTGAATTGAAAAGCAATTGATAGCAACTGAAAACTACACCCTTTTGTGTCAAACATCTGGAACCCAATCAATACATTGTTTAATGCGGGTTTCACGAAATCTATATCTCAATCGCGATTCCCTATTGTTTTTGCTGTAATTATCATAAAAAGCTATTTTTAATCAAAAGTTATAGTCAATAGTCAACACAACACTCAATGAGTCGGAGTCTATGTTAGACTACAGTCTGTCAACAGTTTATCATTGAATTTGTTTTTCATTTCTTTGTCCAAAATATTTATAGATTTTTGTTAAACAACGAAATGAGAGAAGAGTGTCAATGAAGTGATGATAAGCAGTGTCTGTCTATGAGTGACACAAACATCACATACCAGGCCTTGACGCGAATCAGTACTTCTCCTTCCGATAGCTGCGGTTCCGGTCGTTTCAACACTTTGACGGTCTTGACGCCTACAGACATATGGCATGAGTTGACTCGTGTGAGACACGTGCTGTGGGACACTGGTGTCAGACAACTTACCCCCGAAGCCGGTCAGCACAACGGCGCGCATCTCTTTGACGGGCGGCTGTGTCTCCTTCTTGTCGTCCTCTCCATTCTGATCGCCATTCTTCTGGTCCTTTGGGTCCAACTCCTTGC